ATAAGTCTCGGTGGTACGAAGAAGCTATTGAAGATTTAAGTCATACCTTGTGGCAGAGGCCTTGTAAAACATCACAATATGGGAAGTCTTGAGGGCAGCATAATCTTGAATTCTCACAGCAAACACCGTTTTCAATAGGACAGCATCCGTGAACTAAGCACTTGCCAAAGAAATCTAAGCCGCAGCAGCATGTTTGACCTTCTGGACAGTAATATAAGCTGTCTTCACATATATTTGGTTTTGGAGAAGGTGGTGGAGGAACCAGAGGGGATGGTGGAGTGGAAGACGATTCTTTCATGGGATAAGAAGCCAATGAATTAATAGCACATATCCCATATGGCAAACCAGTGTTCCTTTTTATATATGCGTACCCCTCCATACCCCAAAATTTTCCCCATGAATTCTTGATAATCCAATAGTCAACTCCTCCTTCAGAACCGTATCCTACAATTAGTACTGCATGAGATAAGTCATCTGGATTACTAGAGCATTCTCCATCATAGATTCCCTGCATTAAACCCCAAAAACAGAGAAAGGCCAAGAGCTTAATATTGGGATTTGTTGAAAGAAGACAGAAGTAACAATAAGAATGACGCAATATATATGAGTTACCCCTGCATATAGCTGAAAATCAAGGCCTTTTCCATCTATGCCTACACTAACGGGTTGTCTAGCAACAGCACAAAGTAGGGCACTTTCTTCTTGTGCAACATCTTGGTATCCATCAATTGTTACAGCCTTCTTGTTCAACTGTTGAGCAAAAATGATCAACATTTTCTCCTAAAAATGAAAAAGCTAAAAGAAACAAAGATGTTATAGGAAATTGCAGCCATCACATGCCTTGTTGTAACTGCAAGTGCCTCGGGATTCGGTGTATGGATAATCAGCTGCTGAATCAATGCCACTATTGTTGATCACAAATTTAAAAGCAGGGTCCATAAGTCCACCTTCACACCCTTTATTGGCGGTGTCACAGTTGACAAGTTCTTGAGTTGAAAGGCTAATAAGTTCACCAGTGACTAATGCATTTATTCCTTCTATAGCTCCACATGCAGAAAATGCCCAACAACATCCTGCATTTGTAATGCAGAGAATCAAAGATATTTGCAGAAGGCGCATATTTTCAGGCTCACCGATATCCCAAGACATCATTGGTTCAGCTGCCTAATTTGGGAGTACTCTCGGAAGCTTTGGTACTATACCATCCTTCTACTAGGTAATCACTAGATCAACAAAGTGCTTATAATAGAAGTGAAGTAGCAAAAAATTGAAGGTTGTACTCCTGACTTTTACTCATTCTTTCCCATTAAATAGGCATCAACAAATTGGGAACTAAAGATCTATGAACTAACTGATGCTACTGTTGTGCCTCTCTTTTGTTCAAAACAAGACTTCCATGTATAATATCGAGTTTAAGCTGTATGTAGTGACGCCGTAAAAGATCTTTACACAATGATATGTCACTTATAAGGTAATTACAAGTAAATGTCCATGATATGCCTTAAACCATTATACGCTAAAAATGGAGAATTGTGAAAGACTGAATTTAATATGCAGAAGAGATTAGCACAGCTTACCACATGCTCCTTGGTTCTTAACCTCAGTGACAACCCCATGTTTCCTCCAATCCTTAGAAGGAGGAGCAACACAAGAATTTGCAGAAATAGCGGTCTTGTTCTGCTGGTTGAAAGGCATCTTAATCTTTGAAGTATGGACTTGGCTAAACTCTTCATTGCTCATATCAGCAAAATTGTTCAAACCAACTAAATGGTCTGATTCTGACCTCCTCTTTGAGTTCTTGTCCACTATATACTTCACATTCCTTTTAAAATTCTCCAACCTCATTTCTTCCTCTTTCTCATTCTTGTAAATTTTCCCATGCTTCTTTTTCCATTCTTGGAAAAGTTGGAAAACTCTTTCTTCTGAAAGCAACTCTTGCGGCTTGTCTATTAATTCTGGAAAATCAGTAGTAAAAGCAGAAACTTGAGATGATAATGCTGCTAAGATCAAGAAAAGTAGGAAACTAAGAAGAAGAAAAACGTGGAATTTTTGTGTATTTCCCATATTTTATTTTAGTAACACAATCCAATAAATGACTTTGAGATTCTTCTGTTATATATAGCTTTTGAAAAGATGACCCTTATGGTCATGAATAAGTTAGGAAGAGGAACAAGCGTACAAACTTTTATCTGTTAATTATTTGATTGAACAATAATGTAATGATATTTTTGGAAAGGCTAGTGAGTGATATTTTGAGTGCACTTGCTCCTAAAACTTTATCCTGTAGTAAAGATACTAATTAGTTTATTGGATATTTATTTCTAAGAGACTGTGATAGATGTTTTTTTATCTTTACTCCAAAACATTTCTCATCCACCCCTTATTATCCAATTATCAGAAACTCGATAGGATATTAAGCCAAGCCGATAAAATCATCAATCTTCTGTCTAAATTCCAATATTGATATATGAATTTACTGAAATATAATTCACTGGACCCCGATTTGGAATTTTGTAGTATTTGTAAGTTTAGTGGTGCCAGTTTTTTGGGGCCCATTACCACTAGAAATGAATAGCATACTATCCTTTCTGGATTTTATGCAGTTTGACAAATATTTGGTGTAAGAATTATGTATTAGCCTATTTAAAACGTAGTAAAGCAATTTTACTTAAAGCAGCAAACACAGTTTATCTCTCTCTCAACTAACGCAGTATTAAGAATGAAACAATAAGACGGAAACATAATTTAGTTACTGCAACAAATTTAAATTACAAAATAGTAATAAATTTGTGACCGTTCAAGTTATGACATATAAAGTGAAACAGAGAGTAGCAATTTTAACTAGTTTATGGCCTGCCCTCCATAAGAGTAAGCATGTTTTTTGTGTTGCATCATCACACAAAGATATTTATTCTACTTCAAAAGATTAAAGTGATAATAGGCAACACAAAGGTGACAAGTTTGAGGGGTATTTATGTCTTTTTCCTTGTTTTTGTGGTTAAGAAATGATTCTTTCAATGCATTGCATCAATAGAAGGAAATTGCCCTTCTTTAGCATCTACTGACCGAAAGCTAAGTTATGTAAAATGAATGTTACTCATTTTCTCTTTCTAAACTTAAGTGATTTTAATTTCTAGATTGTATGGTAAATTTATAAGCTAATAAATTTATGTCCACAATATTACATACTTTAGTATTTCTTCTTCTTTTCAAGTTATGACAACATGATATTTTGATGGTAATAACATTTCAAGCTTTATTGCACAACAATATACGAGTTCAAACCTAAAGATAATTAAGATATAGAATAAAGCAAGTGTATGATTAAAACATATTTTTATTTTGTCCTACTAGTTATTAATAAAAATGGAGAACATTATCCATAATATATCAGTAAGCTAAAGACTAAAATCAATTATAAAGCTTGTAGGCTTGTTGTATTTTGTTTGAAGAGTAATCGGTCCCTTTTTTCGTTTTCTCATATAAAGTCCATGATTTTAGTTTTATGGATTAGTATGAGAAAACGAAAAAGAGGGATCGATTTGTCTTCAAACAAAAAAATAAATTACGATAAATCAACAAGCTTTATGATCCATTTCAGTCTTTGGCTTATTGATATGTTGTGGATAGTGCTCTCCGTTTTCATTAATAATTAGTAGAACAAACAAAAGATGCTCTAATTATATACTTGCATTATTATCTTGATTATCTTTAGGTTTGAACTTGTCTACTATGAAACAAAGTTTGAAATGTCAGTAAGTGAGTTAGTACTATCATTTTGTCACTAAAAATTATAAAAAGAAGAAGAAATATTAAAGTACGTAATATTGTGGACATAACATATGTACTCTCCTATATCTATTTTTTTTTCATCCTTTAGCTTATACATTTACTATTTCTACAAAACCAAAATTGTTATTGAAACCATCTCTAAGTTCAGAAAAAGAAAAACGAAAAAGTTTTAAAGTATAGATCGTAAATTACCTTCACTGCCAGATGCTAAAGAAGGGGACGTTCATCTTCTGCAACAGCTATATAGTTGAAAATCAAGGATGCTCCCGTTGATGTCCACACTACCAAGTTTTAGAGCAACAACACAAATAAGGGCACTTTCCTCTTCTGCAACATCTTGGTATCAATCAATTGTTACAACCTTGTGGTGGTTCACCTGTTGAGGAAGATATTTGAACAATGACCACGTTATTAAAGGAAAATATTTGAAAAATGGATAGAAGACATGGTCATCACATGCCTTGTTGTAATTGCAACTGCCTTGAGAGGCAGTGTTTAGATACAGAAGCTGAATCAATGGTGCCAGCGTTGATCACCCATTCAAAAGCAGGGTTCATAAGGCCACCTTGATCACGGTCATTATTGTATTGAATTATCACAATCAATAAGTTCTGGGGCAGAAAGGCTAATAAGTTCACAATCTTCCAGTCAAATCAGAAAGTCCTTCAACAGAACAAAGTCCATTATGTTGACATAATCCTACAGTGCACGAATTGTTATGGAAGTGCAAAAAGAGAGACGGTAAGAAATATTTATGTGCAATTTTAATGTTCTCTAAGATCAGGAAAAATGAAGAAGATAGGAGATACTACAAGGATAGAAGAAAAGTATTGATGATAAGACAGTAGATTCTACAAGTAGTGTTATATGCACATTATATAAGGGCAAACTTGGATTCACCTACCTGGCAATACCAATGTACCATTCACGGTCATGAGCTGCTTTAACACATAATCACTGCAAAGATCTACATTAATATCCAGACAACAGCAGTTACCTCATAAGCAAGTTTTAATTCACTCTTCTGGTTACATCTTGCAGAATACCATTCCAGCTCTGTATGTGTTCTGCTGCAGATGCAAAGGATTTTCCAGACATTGGAGTGATTTTCTCATCTGCCATACAGTCCTGCAAAGCCACCTTGCAGCCCTAAACCAGAAGTGATTTTATGAATGCAAGTTTGGCGCTTTAACATACATGCTTATGGCTCAATTGTCTGAGTCAAGACAAAATGATGTCATCGCAGGCATATGACCCATATCCATCATCTGAGCAGTTAAAGTGAACAGCATGTTAAAGTTCTCCACTGACTGCACTGAAGTATCACCACAAAGAAAAACAAGCAACTGATTCCTATCCTCAACCCAGCTGCATCCTGGTAGTCTGCCTGCTCCACTCTTTTTTATTGTTTCCCTAACTCTCTCCACATCACCCCATCTTCCTAGCTCAGCATACATGTTTGATAAGACAATCAGATTTGTTGATGTATGAGGTTCAAGTTCAAGAAGCTTCTCAATAGCACAGCCAGCAATCTTTATATTGTTATGCATGCGACAAGCCCCAAATAGGGCACCCCAAATTTCTACAGTGACATTTTTTTTCATATCCTTTATTAGAAGGAAAGCTTCTTCTAACCTCCCTGCTCGCCCAAGTAAGTCAACCATGCAAGCATAACGTTCACATGAAGGAGTAATAGAATACTTTCTGGTCATGTGCTCAAACAAATTTGCACCAGCATCACTCAAGCCAGCATGCTTACATGCAGATAAAACACTAACAAATGTGACTTCATCAGGAATGACTTCTTTATCTTCCATTTCTTGAAAAAGTTTGACAGCCTCCTGCCCATATCCATTTAAAGCATAGCCAGCAAGCAAGGAATTCCAGGATATAACATCAGCATTGTCAACATCTTCAAACATATTTTCTGCATCAAAGATCTTTCCACACTTCGCATACATAATGATTAAAGCATTACAAACTGATAAATTTTTCACATAACCGGTTTTTATAGCCGCTTGATGAAGTTGCTTGCCGATATGCTCAGCTGCAAGATTGGAACAGGAACTTAATGTTGAAGCAAACGTAGAATGATCTGGTTTCTTGCCATCATGTGTCATCGTGATGAAATATTTAAGTGCATCTACATAAAAACCATTTTGGGTATAACCTGAAATTAGAGAATTCCAAGAAATTACATTTCTTTCCCCCATATTCTCAAAGATCTCAAGTGCTTTTTCCATTTGTCCCACTTGAGCATAACCTGCTATCATTGTATTCCAAACAACTATGCTCTTTGGTTCCATCTTTTCAAACAGACCAAAAGCTTCATCAATCCGTCCACATTGAGCATAGCCTACAATCATTGTATTCCAACAAACAACATCACGAGTAGCAGTTCGATCAAATACCCAACGAGCTTTATCCATCATGTTGTTTTGGATGTACCCTGAAATCATTGCTGTTCGTGCACCAACATTTCTGTATGGCATTTGATCCAACAAATCCCTTGCTTCTTTTAGCTTTCCAGCACGACAATAACCATCAATCATTGTTGTATAAGCCACGGCACTTCTCTGAGACATTCTATTAAATAATGAAGCAGCCATGTCAATTTTTCCATTCTGGACATATGCAGCTAACATGGCATTCCAAGCAACCTCATTTTTCTCCGGTATTTGGTCAAAAATCATTTCAGCCTCCAATATCATCCCATATCGTGCAAATCCACTCAGCATTGTCACCCATGAAACAACATTTGGACTAGGAATCTTAGCAAAAACCTCTTTAGCAGAATCCAAATCCCCAACCTCAATAAACCCACCCAATAATAAATTCCAAGAAATGACGTCCTTCTCTTCAATATCCTCAAAAAATTTCAATCCAAATTGCATTTCCCCATTCTGGGTATATCCCAAAAGCATCGAATTCCATGAAACTAAATTCTTAGCCGGCATACCATCAAACATTTTCCTAGCATCATCTAACCTTCCAGCTTTTGCATACCCTGTAATCATTGCATTCCAGCAAGCTATATTACTTTTATCAGAAAGCAACTCAAATACATCTCTAGCCTTTTCAAGCTCCCCAATGCGCGCGTAACAAGTTATCATCAATGCATAAGTAAAATGGTCTCTCTGAGGCATTTTATCGAACAGTTCACATGCTTTCTCAACTTGACCATTAAGCAAATACCCATTAATCATTGTATTCCAAGAGATTAAATTTTTAAACAACATTTTGTCGAACAGCTTGCGTGCATGGATGATTCTACCATTCTTGGCATATGCAGAAATCATAGAATTGTAGGTGACAGTATTAGGGTGTGTGATTCTGTTGAACACTCTGATGGCTTCATCTATTTGTCCCCTTTTCCCTAACTGTGTTATCTTCAGATTTTGCTGGATGATTGTTCTTCCTCTACTTAAACTTGCCATTCAAATATATTATTATCTTCGGAATTGTACTGCGCCTTATAACGAATTTTCCCGCACTTCCTGCCCTAAAAAAGAGAGCCAAGTATTACCGAATTTAAAATTGGGGGCGAGTTATTTGATTATGAGCTTGACATGTGTTCGAGTATAACAGATGAAATTTTTGTAACTAGGGAGATGGAGCAAAAATATACTTAAATACCAAAATTTATTTATACATGCCTTAAAACACAACACGATATGTTTAAAATTACAAAGATCCGAAAGATAACCTTGACATATTATACACACTGGGATTATTTTTTAAAAGAAAAATTGGGGAAGGGGAAATGGGCTAATAAGGTGGAAATTTCAAGGAGTCAACCAACTGAGATACTAAGATTCTCGAAAGTCTAGTGTTTTTTATTAAGAAATGTTGGTTTCAACGCATTGCAGCAACATGATTTCTCTTCCATTTCAGAGTTTGGCTCATCTCCTCTATTGCTTCAGTGTTAGTTCTCCATGGTAACTTGTACTTGGCCATTTTTCTCTTCCTTGCTTCCACTCCAATTTTGTCTCCATGATCCTGCAAAAAAAGGGAAAGAAATAATCAAACAAATCATAATTTATTTAAATTTCTAAAGATTTGTTCTATCTGTATTATTTGGGATCCTTTTTCTATCACATCGAATATTTAATCTTTGGTAGGAAGCGTTTTGCTCTAATATATTTGGTGTAGGAAGCGATAAGTGATTAGTTGGACCGGTTGATTTCAGGATGTTTAAAGCAAAGAGAAAATTATTTACTCTTTGATTTATCCAAAGTGAGTTATTTTAGACATTGTACTATTTTCTGTTGGTATCTAATAATTGAGCAAAATTTTGCAACCTTAAATATCTTTCAAACCCTTTTGCCTTGCTTTTTGTCTGTAAAGATTACTCCTAGTACCTTGTTGATGATGACAAATCTAATCTATTTAGCGTGGTACCTCCAACTGCCGCAAATCGCAATAATTTGGTGTAAACTTTATTATGTGACTCAACATGGATTTAATGAGAATCTTAAGAGTGATCTAGCTTAAGAGTTGTAACATCAAATTCCCTTGCATCATGCATATCTCTCATTTATGTAGCTTCAAATTACTCAGAAACCATTTGAAAACCAAATGTTGGATTTTTTTTTTCCTAAAGAAATTGTTACAGGAGAAGTCATACCTTGAGGCAGAGGCCAGCATAAACATCACAAATGGGATGGTCCGCTGGGCAGCAATAGTTTGATCCATCACAACAAACACCGTTCTCATAGGGGCAGCAGCCCTGCTCTAAGCACATGCCAGAGAACTCTATCTCACAACAACATGTTTGGTCTCCTGGACAGTAACTGAAGTCTCCACATTCACTTGGTTTTGGAGTAGGCGGGGGAGGGGATAGCGGGGGAGGTGGTGGAATGGCTGGAGACGGATAAGGAGATGGTGATGATTCTTTCATTGGATATGAAGCCAATGAATTAATGGCACAAACCCCATATGGCAAATTAGTGTTCCTTCTTATATATCCATACCCTTCCATTCCCCACTCTGTACCCCATGAGTTCTTGATAATCCAATAGTCATCATGTCCATCAGAACCATATCCAACTATTAGTACTCCGTGGGATACGTTATTTGGATCATCAGAGCATTCTCCATCATAGATTCCCTGAATTGACACCAAAACAGAATAGAAACAAAAAATCACATCATTTTTGGGATTACTGACATGTGAAAATGGAATAATAGAAAATAGTTACCCCTTGGTATAGTTGAAAATCAGGGCTGCTTCCGTCAATGGCCACACTAACAGGTTGTTGAGCAGCAGCACAAAGAAGGGCACTTTCCTCCTTTGGAACATCTCGGTATCCATCAATTGTTACAACCTTATGGTTCACCTATTGAGGAAAATATTTGAAGAATGATCAAGTTTTGAAAAAGGGAAAAATATTTGGAAACTGGATAGAAGACTTGGATGTGAAATTGATCATCACATGCCTTGCTGTAATTGCAATGACCTTGAGAATGGGCAGTGTATGGATAATCAGCTGCTGAATCAATGCCGCTGTTGTTTATCACCCATTCAAAAGCAGGGTCCATAAGTCCACCTTTACAGCCACTATTATGTGAAGTATCACAATCAATAAGTTCTTGTTCAGAAAGGCTAATAAGTTCACCAGCAACTATTGCATTTATTCCCTCCATTGCTCCAGACGCCGAGAATGCCCAACAAGCTCCTTCAAAAGTTTTGCATAGATCAAATATATTACTCTAATGTACATAAGTGCATATGCCATCTTATTGCTCCCTTAGTGATAGAGTTTTGGACCTTTTAGTACTATTGACTTGTAATTTGAGCCAACAAAAAGTAGTAAGACTGTAATTTAGACCAATTTGCAGATTCAACTCATTTAATTTCTTTTATTTGGATTTCTTAGTGCTTGTGCAAGGACAACAAGCTACCTAGAAGTAAAACATGTATTTAGTGTAAACCAATACTATAAATATATAAAACACAATGAAATATGCCTAAATACAACATCAAGCAATCATCTACAGAGGAGAGTCATACTTAAAGATTAAATAAGTACCCCCACCGTTTCAATCTATCTGTCTTACTTTCCTTTTTAGTCCGCTCCAAAAAAAACTACTAAAAACAAGCTATAGCAACATGAACTGACAATGGTAAGAGAAGACAAGTGTAAAGTTACCACATTCTCCTTGGTCCTTGACCTTAGTGACAGCTCCATGTTTCCTCCAGTCCATTGAAGGAGGAGCATCACAAGAAAATGGAGTTGGTTTTTTTCCGACTTTCTTCATCTGAATAGTCTTTCTCTTGTTAAAGGGTATCGTAATCTTGGAAGTATGAACTTGTCTAAACTCTTCATTGCTCATATCAGCAAATTTTGTCAAACCAACCAAATAGTCTGAATCTGATTTCCTCTTGGAGTTCTTTTCCACTATATACTTCACATTCCTTTTAAAATTCTCCAACTTCACTTCTTCCTCTTTCTCATTCTTGTAAACTTTCCCATGCTTCTGTTTCCATTCTTGAAAGAGTTGGAACACTCTTTCTTCTGAAAGAGGCTCAGTTGGTCTATCTAGTATTGGAAAATCAGTAGTAAAAGAAGAAACTTGAGATGATAATGCAACAAAGATCAAGAAAAGTGGGGAAAGGGAAAGGAAGAGAGGAGGACTCTGTTTGCTTCCCATTTTTCAGTTACACTAAACAGTTATTGACTTTGTGATCATTCTAGTCCTAATCTCATTGTTTTATAGCTTTAGCAAAAGAGTTTAAGTTACGTATACGGATACTGTAAATAATTATCAGGTCATATTTTTTTGTTGTAACACAAAAATACATCATATCGTCAAGATTTTACATCCCACATTTTGAGGAGACATACTTATATAGAGATCTTTAGGTGACCTGATAGTAAAAAAAAATTAACTACACTTAAACAGCCTACGCGTTTCCAATAACTCTACGTAGGTGAGATATATGAAAAACTGTGCAAGCTTTTCTCAGTTCTATATGGTTCAAAGTGATGAATGAGGATTGAGGAAGGGTAGTGTGGTAGGTGTGGGTATCGGGTATGTAAGACACATTTTCTGGTATGTAACATGTGTTATTATCAATAATGTATGGGTGGCAAAACAGAGATTGTTTTTTTCTTTAGCTCAATTGGACCAATTAAGCTGGGAATACCGTGGCAAAAATATATCACTAGTAAAGAAATAATTTCTCAAAATAAAGTCTTTTGGTGTATTGGAACAACTAATGTTTGCAGCTATAGATTAAGACAGGAAAATTGACTTATATATGCAGTAGTATTTGCAAGGGAACAACTGATTACGGCAGGAAATTGACATATTACACTGTAATACGGTTGTCCAGAAAAGTTGTGAGGGTAGTTGCATCGTAAACTCGAAAAAAAAATTCACGTTGAGCTATATATTGGTAGGTTCTAAATTTATTCAATCAATCGCCAATTTGTGAAGGACAAGTGCACTTAATCTTAGACCAAAGGATAAAAATAAGTGATTAAAATTGAGTGAGTCTCTGCATATTAAAAAGATGGGTAAATTTTGATGGGTGAACCATAATAAATAGTGTCAACGGTGCCATGTGATATTGATGCTATATAGATTTCCCAAACAAGTCAAAAAGACAGCAGAATTGTCTAAAGGAACTGTGCTTATAGTTTCAGTTACGCATTTGATGAATCAAAATACTTGGCATTAGAACCAGAACCAGAACCAAAACCAAATACATTCTTAAGAATGCTAGAAGGCACGATAAGAATGTCGAAGAACTCATTAGTTTGTCCCATTGTATCTGCAACCAAATTGCAAAAATCTCAATCTCTGCACCTTCAGTGCTTCTATGTTGTTTGTTAAACACAAATATCACGCCTTTGGGATTTTTGGAAGATCTGCACATTTGATAAGAGCATGAATTTATGTTCCAACATGCATAGCTAGATGAGAGAAAGGGTTTGATTATAATAAAGTTAGTTAAGGAGTTATACCTTATGAGCACCATTCTCTGGCATTTTGAAACATGCGCAACCAGGGGCTTGGGCCTTTCTTCTCCACATCCCAATTTTTAGGATACCATGGGTACTGCCACATCAAGAAGCAGCGTTCTGGATGAGGCATCATTGCGAGATGTCTACCATCTGGAGAACAAATTGCGGCTACACCCAAAGGAGAACCATTAGGATTGAAAGGATATACTTCTGTTGGTGTGCCATCATCATCGCAATACTTCACTGGCGCCAAGTTGGAGCCAAGAATATGATTGAAAATACTATCATCAGGGAAATAAGCTCTTCCTTCACCATGAGCAGCCCAAACACCTAATGTACTGCCTTGCATACCTTTGAACATTATGGCTGGTGTTTCTTCTATTGTCACATTCGTGAAGCGACATTCAAACCTTCCAGACTCATTATGTATAAACCTCGGCTGTGATGGATCCCCTCCGGCACCAAAAACACCTCCTACTTGGGGCCCTGGCACCCAACCCAATAGAGCCATAAGTTGGCACCCATTGCAAACTCCGAGGCTGAAAGTGTCCGGACGGTTATAAAATGCCTGAAATTGGTTTAGAAGAGGCTGATTAAAGCGAATGGACGCTCCCCAGCCTTTGGCAGAATCAAGTACATCAGCATAACTAAAACCTCCAACAAACACAATTCCTCTAAATTTATCCAGTGTGATGACTCCATTGAGAAGGTCTGACATTGCAACATCCCATGGTTCAAATCCAGCAGCAGAAAAGGCTGCAGACATTTCTCTATCACCATTGCTGCCTTCCTCCCGGATAACTGCAACCTTTGGCTTTGAAATGGCAGTCATATAATTATCATCAGTAAATGTTGGCGTGAAAGATAGTTTCCAGGATGGTTCATGCCGATTTTTTAACCCTTCTTTTTCTAATTCTACACATGAATCCAGTCTTTGGAACTTTTCCAGTTGAAAGCTAGTCTCTTCCCACATATCCCTGAGCACAGAAGTTTCCTCATTCAAATGTGTAACCCCATCAACCTTCAATTCAACTATCGGAGATGAAGTAACTTGACCAATGATATCAGCAGAAACATCACCATGGTGGAGCTTTTCCAGAACTAAATCCACGTTTTTCTTGCTAACTTCAATGAGAAGGCCAAGCTCCTCCGCAAAAAGTGTTTCGGGTATAGTGCTCCCAGAAGATGTTAAATCCAAACGAATGCCACAGTTCCCTGCAAATGCCATTTCAAGGGCATTCACTATGAGTCCCCCATCACTGATATCATGACCCGCAGAGATCAGTTCATCAGAGATTAGGTTCTGAACCTCATTAAAAACAGTTTTAAGATAAGAGACATCATCCAAATCAGGACTTTCATCTCCAATTTGATCAAACACCTGGGCAAGAGCAGATCCACCGAGTCGTCGTTTTCCTCTGGCCAAGTCAATATGAAGCAGCACACCATCATCTCCAAGCTTCAAGTCTGGAGTAACTGTCTTTGTTATATCAGGACACGTCACATAGGTACTGATGACTAGATTCCCTGGAGCTTTAACAACTTCCTCCGATGAGTGGGCTGCCATGGAAAGACTATCTTTCCCCCCATCAATTGCAATCCCAAGTTCAATCATAGCTTCAGAAAGAGCAACAGCAGCATCATACATTGCAGCTCCTTCACCATCTAATTTTGCAGCATACATCCAATTCCCACTTGCTTTAACATCAGAAAGAGATGTAACTTTCGCCCAAACAAGATTTGTGAGTGCTTCTCCGACAGCCAGCCTTGCCATTGCTTTTGGATCCAAGAGACCTTTTATTGGCTGCTCTCCAATTGAGCATGCACCTCCAGTCAAGTCTGTATAAGTTTGAGCTATGACAGCCACATCAGCAAGAGTAATCTGCAAGGGACCCACAGTTTGCTGCTGTGCCACAAGACCAGTGACACACCTGTCAACTTTAGTGGTCAAGAATCTTTTCGAACAAACAGAAGGAAGCCTCAGGACCCTCTTCAATGAATCTAAAACTGTTGTTGCAGGAGCAATATCAAGTGGTTCACGCAGATTTTTCATGCGATTGAATTCAAATGTCTTTTTAGGCATATCACCAAGCACCTTCTCAAGCTCAAGATCCACTGCAGGTGGAGGAGGAGGCAGTCCACTAGACTTGCATTTGTTAGTTGCCACACTATCAACCAGAACAATACGGCCCTCACCATTAATTGTTCCAATAACAGCCATTGAAAGTCTTTCCCTTGAACAGATAGCTTGCAAAAGATCGCGGCTTTCAGGCTTCACCAGTATGGCATCTTGCTCCTGATATTCTGCACCCCAAATTTCCAGAACAGACATTGTGTGATCGCCAACTACAATTGCCCTTATATCAATTTTGGCACCCTGTGGGTGTATTATCTCCTTCACGACATTACAGTTTCCACCGGCACCCTGATCATGAATGCTTATGATCGGGTTGCTGTCACCCATTTCGATGCAAGCACGGACAACCCGATATAACTTTTGTGCCATCTCAGCATCTCCACGCTGCACGGCATTGAAGTCAAGCTCAGCATCATTCTGTCCACTGACCATGCTGGATGCAGCACCACCTCCCATTCCAATACGATATGCTGGTCCCCCGATCTTAACTACCAACATACCAATCTCGGGTTCTCCCTTTGTTATGTGACGGTGATCTATTTGCCCAATACCAGCACTAAACATGATTGGCTTCAACCATTCCCTCCTCTCACCACTTGGTAGTCTCATTCCAAAAGTTCGAGTATAACCCTGGATCAAGGGTTCCCCAAACTTATTCCCATAGTCTGATGCTCCATTACTAGCATCAATGAGAATCTGTAATGGTGATGCCAAGTTTGCTGGGTATGTGAAAGAAGGATCTTCCCAGGGAGCATATGACCCTTCAATGTTAAGATTTCCAACACAATATCCAGCTGTAGATGCAACAACAAAAGAACCCCTTCCAGTAGCATGGGTATCCCGGATCCGGCCTCCTGCACCTGTCTCAGCACCAGGATAAGGTGCCACAGCACAAGGGAAATTATGGGTTTCCGCTGTAAACAAGACATCAAGGTCAGTAGTAACCGTGTCCAAAGGGCATGTCGAACCAGGCTGAATAGGTCGCAATTGCTCCACTGGAAATCCCTTGATAGCACTGGAATTATCTTTGAATCCAATAACTGAATTGTTTGGATTTGCAAGCAAAGTGTTTTTGACAATCTGCATAAGAGTCTTATCCATAGGTTGACCATCTATAACAAGCTTTCCTGTAAAGAACCAGTGCCTACTATGTTCACTATTAGATTGAGCAATATCAAATAGTTCTACATTCGTCGGGTTTCGCTTAATGTCGTCCCTGAAAAGTTTGGTGTAGTACTGTAAGTCTTGCTCATCAAAGGCCAAGCCCATTTCCTCATTAATTTCCTCCAATGCCTTGCGACCCTTTTCCATGACTGGTATATATCGAACCTCCTCTGGAACTATGCTTGTCTTGAAAGAAGTAAGCTTCTCAACATAAATACACTCTGTCATTCGATCATGAACAATTGAAGCAAACTCATTAATTTGACTATCTAGAAGTGACCCCTTGACATATAATAAGTACCTCCTAGAGCGCTCCATTCTGTTTATCTCTGTTAGCCCGCATGCTTGGCAAATCGACACTGCATTAGCAGACCACGCTGTAGTGAAAGATAACCGTGGACCAACTTCAATGATATATGCATCTGGAAGTTCCCTCTGCTCTC